GTTTGTTTAATTAAAATTGCTTTTTCGAAAAAAGAAAATATAAATTTAGATGCATATGATGTGTTTGATGAAATATATGAATGAAAAAAAAATGAAATTGAACTTTACATTTGATTATTGAACTTTGCATGAACAATGGAATGTGAAAGAAAGCTATAAATCTCATAGCATAAGTAAGGAAAATGGAGTCTTCCTTGACAAAAACATGTGTGATGGTATCAATGACACCTCTGGGAAATCTTGTGAACTAGGAGATGCATTGCAAGTGTTTGATCAAATACAATAAGAAAGGGTTACACCAAATATCAGCACTTGGAATTCTTTGATGAGGTAGCATTATAAAAATGACTTCCTCTCTCAGGTAGAATATTTTGTGTGCTTTTTATGAAGATTGGATTTAAGACCTGTCTGTTTATATATTCATGATAACCAAATTAATTATATCACAACACTTTAACCGGTTAACCCAACAAACAAACGATATAACCACAACTATACCCAAATTAGGCTTCATTTTTCGACATAATGTATTTGTTTTTTAAAAAAATCATATGTTTTTTTCATTTCTTTTCTCACTGCTTAAGGTATGTAACAAAACTAGCGATTGAACTTATTAGGAGGCTGCAAAACATTAACATATTCGATTGAAATGTTTTTTTTTTTAATTTGGAAGTTCTTCTGTTTGTAATAATAATGTTGAGATTAACCTTTCTATTGTTTTTTTTTCTTTGTTGTACGTTGTACGCCTTCAGTCTGGATGAAGGTTTTATTTAGATGTGTATAGGGACAGATTCTAGAAGCTTGAAGAACTATTTTGACGACTTCTAGGTTTGCCTTTTGCAATGATTGGGCTTAACTTATTTCAGGTACAAAGTCTGTTATGGTATTAAAATTATTATCGACTTGATTTTGCGGTTTCTGAGGTACGATCTATCTACAGTTTTCTTTGAGTCTCCTTTTGGTGTCTGTTATCAATGTAGGTTAATCTAATTAAACATTTGGATAATGCTTCAGAGTGTAGATGTTGACTTATTTGTCTTCAGAATGCCTGATTTTTTTTTTTCATATATATACCACATCATCTTTGAACCAAATATTTTGTTGGTTAGCGTTTGAAGAAATTAGGGTTAGTTTATGTGTTTTTGTGATTTAGAATACAGAGTGTGTACCATATTACACCAACCTCCTTTGATTTGGTTCATTTGTAGGTTTCAGAGAATTTGAAAGAGCAAGGAGGTTGCAGAAAAAGGTGAAGAAGTTCCTCTTTGGAAGTACCAACTTTTGGAAGTCTAAAAAACTAGTGAAATTATATATATATATATATATATATATATATATATATATATATATATATATATATATATATATATATATATATATATATATATATACACTTAACAATCTAAGGGTGGTGAAGGTGTTGTAACATTTCTGAACCGTTTTACAGTTATACATTTTGGAGTCAAATGTTGCTTAAAAAGTATTTGACAAAGAAACATTTGTTCCTATTTTAGATGGCAGCTTTCAACATTCATGATATATGAAAGTAGGTTGCTTTTTCTTACAATCTTGATGTGGATTAATTGAATAGGTCTAGCATATGGATGTTATATCTGTTTGGACTTCTACACAAAAAAATTTTGACCAATTAAAAAAATAAGCATCTTGACTCATGTGAAGCATTGACCACTTTCCTAGTTAACATTAATTAAGGAAAATACAATACATACTTAAATCCAAGTTTCTAAAAAGTTCATCATGACGTGTCATAACTCCAAGACTTGTACTTGACGTTACGCTTTAACAAAATGCAACCTGAAGTTATATATTTATATAAAAATAAATAAGAAAAATACAATACTTGGCGTGTCATGGCTCTAAGAGTTGTACTTAAGGTTGCAATACATACTTAAATCCAAGTATCGTAGTTAACATTAATTAAGGAAAATACAATACATACTTAAATCCAAGTTTCTAAAAAGTTCATCATGACGTGTCATAACTCCAAGGTTTTTACTTTACGTTACGCTTCAACAAAATGCAACCTTAAGTTATATATATATATATATATATATATATATATATATATATATATATATATATATATATATATTCAAAAATTATCACCTTAAGTCACACCTTATAAACGAAGTGGTTTGTTATGGTTCGTAAAAGCTTGAGGCTTGAAATTGTCGTCAACTCACGCATAATGTTATTTAGAACCTTGCTTAAATCTAGATATTTTGTTTTCAATAGTTAACATACTAATCCGTTGAAAACTTGAATGATCTTGTTATTTCGGTGTGACGGAGAGAACACAAATCTAACTTCTATATCTAATCGTCATTGAATGAGATTTAATCATCGTGAAAGCTTCTATGAAGATTTGAAACCAATTTTTTGGCTGAATATCCATTTGTATGACGTGGACCAGAAGACTTAAACAACAGAGACTTCTAAATGGCAACAATGACTAATATTTTTATTTGTTGTAGTAGTTTTTCTTTTTCTGTGTATTGTAATCGAATATAGAATATAATAAACAAAATAGATACTTGGTTGGAGTTAAGTAACTAAGTAAGTGTTGTGTCTTTTATATTTTAGAAAAAAAAATATATTACGGATCTTGATCTTGTTTTTAAACCGGTTTCAGATATGATCCGAAACCGATTATCCTATTTTAATATTTTTTTTATCCTAAAAACAGGTTTAAACCTACTCCAGTGTGACAAAAATCATTCTTTCATAGTCAGTAATAGGATATCCGATATTAAAAACCGGATACTTTTCCACCAAAAGTCAGGTTAAATCCGGACTGGATTATTCATTTATCTGATCTGATTCCTTTATAACCGATTTTATCCGCATCAAATTAAACATTCGGTTCCAATAAAATTAGGTCTTTCCGTCTTTGTACACCTCTAAATCGGATTTTATATCTAACAATAGTTCACCCCAACATGGTCATGGCCAGATCACCCCACCCGGCCCACCCATCAGACTAGTAGGCTTTGGCCCAGATACTCATTACTATCTTTTGCTTTCCACACTCCCAAGTCCAATTGGTAGCCCACCACAACCAAAACCCAGTTCGAAATCTTTTAATTTGTTTCCGACTTCCTTGTTGGATGATGGTGGTGTTGGTGTATGATTGTAATTTGTATGTATGCGACAATTGAAGCTTTAAATTTCCAATGTTTCTTTTAAAACAATTAGTTACTAATTCATTGAACGTTAATCTCCACATTCCTTTTACATATTGTTTACACGTTTATTAAAATGTGTTTGTTATATGCTATTCACAAAACCATAAATTTACTTGAGCCTAGACTTACAAATATACTAGTATACTTTGTAAATAAATTGGTAAAATGAGTAGATAACAAATAAAGTCATAGTAACAAATTATTATCTTCATTTTTTTTTTCAGATAAAATGGAAATAAAAATTTAAAAGACAAAAAGGCCATTATCAAAAAGATAATGTAGTATTTATTTCTATCTTAAAAAAGATCTAAATATCGATGAACCCAAAGCAATAAAGACGAGAGAGTGACCCGAAGGGATTTAATATCAAGATAACAACCTCCAAAGCGAAAACATGGGCGAGGGTGACTGGTGAGGGTGCATTAAGTATGACATGAAGGACCTCATTATAATGTAACATTATTTAGAAGGTAATACTTTTGTTCAGTACTTCACTTTAATAATACAGGATACGAATTTAAATGATAATATTCAAACTTAATGCTTTTTATTTATTTTAGAAAAATACTAAGATTTGGTTCGAGATCAAGTGTTCAATATATAACTAAGGCCTGAGGAGGTGTTTGAGATTGCTTGCTTAAAACTTTTTTTAGTAAAAATGTTTAGTAGTTTATCTAATGTTAAAATATGTTTTTTTTTAATATGTTGTTTAGTAATTTATTTCGAACGATTTGACGGAAACAAATCAAGTTCTTATGCTCAATAACATTTATAAAAATATGTAAAACAATGTGTTGTTTGTTTTTTCGAAGCGAAAACGGCTGAAATCTGCGGACCGAATCTGCAACGCTCTGCTGTAGAAGAAGTGGATCAAACGGCTGCAACCTATAATAAGAATTTTGTTTATTTTTTAACATTTGCAGACTGCTACAATAAACTGAAATTAACTATACAATAATTAAAAATAAATCTAAATAAAAAATTTATTTAGTTTAATCATATTCAAATCAACTATAAAAAATCATTGTGATGATATGATTTTTAAAGATGTTTATATAAAAATAATTAAACATAATATTTGCTAAATAACAATAAATAAATTTGTTAATTTAGCTAACAACATGTTCATTTTTATTAAAATTTTAAAGACGGTGATTATTTTCCGGTTAACTTCAATAAATTTGGTACTTTTAATGATTAACTTTATAATTTATTAATATTTGGTTATATATAATATAACATAAAAAATATTTATATAAAAATTTACCAAATGGTTTTGAAATTTATTTGAAATTATGTAAGATATACTCCAATATAATATTATTCAAATATTATTAAAATAATAAACATGTTGAAAAAAACAAATCTAAGTTGAATAATATAACTTATGACATGACAGAGATAGAGAGTCGCCAACGATGAGTGTCGGACTTGTCGATTGGAAGAAGATGGTGGATAACGGTGGAGACGGGAGTTGGAAAGAGCATGCCCGAGGATGAACCGACGAAAGGGTGATCGATGTGGTCTTTTATGACTTTTTGTTCCATTTTCAACTTCTTATAGAAATGGTTCTCTAAACTTAAAAAAATTCGAAAATAACATTAAAAAAAGAGATTAAAAAAAAAATAGTTTGTTTAATAGTCTAAGAAATCATGCATGAAACTTGTCGAAACCACAAAGATAAGTCGCATCGATTTTTTAGAATATGGACATGCTTCTCATAAATTAAAATCATATGATAAACCAAAAAATTGTGAATATCCTATGACCTAATTTTTTTCGACATTTTTGGGATTAAGCCTTTTTAAATTTGATATCATAGTTTCAGAGCGGACTCCTGATTCAGTGTCAATTTACCATTCATCCATCTTCTACAATGATTAGCAAGTGATCTGCCAAACTCAAAAACCCAAGTCCCAACGCCACTTCACTCCACTCCACACTCCCACTTGATTCTCTTCACGCTTTTGGGGGAAATTCGCCAGAAAGAAAAAAACGAATTTAAACCATAAATTCCCCATCAATCAGTAACTGTAACAAAACATTCCCTCTTCAGTCTTCACAAATACCATTATCCGAAAAGGGAGAAAGAATCTTTAAGTCTCCTGCAGTTCTGCCACCTAAACTTCTCTTCGAATCCAAGTTTTCTTCTAAGCGGCGCTGCTTTAAACTTTTCAGTTAATGTTTTCATTGATTTCGTTTCTTGGGTTGTTGTCAAAAGATTCTTTGGTTTGAACCCTTTACCCTTTACCCTTTGTCCTAGTGTTCTTGATTTTGCTTTGTAAAAAGATTCTTCTCTCTTTATTCCATGGGTGTTTCTGTAATTTCATCTAGACTCCTACTTTGATGAGTTCTTAATGTTCTACAGAGAAAGAGACTAAAAAAATAGCGAACATGAAGCAATTGATTCAATTTCAACTGTTGTGTGTTACTTTAGGGTTCTTTCTACCCTCTTATGACGCCGTTCAACCAATTGAAGGTTTGCAGTTTTAATTTTGATTTTTATCGTTAACAAAAAACACTCAATTTGTTTAACCCAGTTCTTGATTCTTGCAGTTCATGCTTTAAATTCGTTCAAAGAATCTATCTTTGAAGACCCGTTTTTGGCTTTATCAAGCTGGAATAGCCTTGATTCAGATCCTTGTAACTGGTTCGGTGTTACATGTTCTGGAAATCAAATTACAAAACTGTAAGACATTTTTTTCGAACACTTCTTGTTGTAATTGAAGCTAATTGGGGTTCTAAATTTTCAATTTACAGTAACATTTCTGGTTCTTCGATAAAGGGATTCATCGCTGAAGAACTCTTTCAGCTCTCCGCTTTACAAGAACTGTATGCTTTCTCTCAGCACCTTATTTCACATTCAAATAACCCAAGACTCATCGAGAAATTGTAATTCATGTAGGATTTTACACGAAAACAAACTCATTGGTCCGATACCCATGTCAATTGGATCATTGAAGTTCCTCAGAGTCTTGGATTTGGGGAAAAACCAGCTTTCTGGTCCAATTCCTTCCGAAATTAGAAATTTAGTCAGCATCGTTCAAATGTAAGTCATAATTTTAGGGTTTGGCTGTTTCAGTTTTCAAATAATAAACATGTTGTGTTTACTTTTGAAAACTAATTCATTTCAGAAACCTACAATCGAATGGACTCACTGGGAAATTGCCATTGGAGCTTCAAAATCTTCAAAACCTTCAAGAGCTTCGATTGGATAGAAATAAACTTTATGAGACAATTCCAGGTTTTTGTAATTCATCTTCATTAAAAGTCGCAGATTTCTCCTACAATTTCTTCATTGGAATCATACCCAAATGCTTAGAGCGTCTTCCAAGGTAAAATTTTCTTCCTCTTTTCCTAAAAAAAACTCAAGTTACACCTCGTTATCATGAACATGAATTTTTGCAGGAATAACTTTCGGGGAAACTGTATGAATTCCAACAACACCAAACAACGCACCCATAAAAAATGTGGTATGTTCATTGTTCGCATCTTTCTGGTAATCAAACTCAAAAAGAGTCTTGTAAAATTCAGGTGTCCCGTTTTCTAAATACAGGCGGCACTCAACCGGAAACAGCCCAGATCGCCGGAAAATCAAGATTACATCCAACCGAACAAGATAACTACAAGATTCATCATTCAAAACCACCCGTTTGGCTTTTAGTGGTGGAAGTCATGACTGGAGTTTCAATCACCTCGCTCTTTCTAATCGCTCTTCTCACATTCGTTTTAAGATGCAAAAGCAAACCTTCAGTTTTAAATCTATTAAAGAGATCCACAAACAACAAACACGATATGTCAATTCATATCGATTCCAATATGTTAAAAGGTGTTACAAGATATAATCGACAAGAACTCGAGATCGCATGTGAAGATTTCAGCAACATTATCGGGTCATCATCTGATAGTTTGGTTTACAAAGGAATTATAAAAGGGGGCCCAGAAATTGCTGTTATATCTCTTTGTATTAAAGAAGAACACTGGACTGGCTACATTGAGCTCTATTATCAAAAAGAGGTCAATACCAATTAACAAGTCAAAAAAATAAAATCTTTCATTATGATTCATTATTATCATTATGAACCCTAACGAACCCTTTTTAATCTTGAATTCTTATGTTCATTAGGTTGCGGATTTGGCAAGATTAAACCATGAAAACACTGGGAAATTGCTTGGGTATTGTATAGATAGTAATCCGTTTACAAGAATGTTGGTGTTTGAATATGCATCAAATGGGACATTATATGAGCATCTTCATTGTAAGTCTTTTATTATATATATGTTGAGAATCATGTAATTTTTATTTTTTTAATGGTGGTTTTGAAAAATGGCAGATGAAGAAGGATGCAATTTAAGTTGGTCGCGAAGAATGAAGATCATCATAGGCGTCGCGAAAGGTTTAAAATATCTTCATACAGAAATCGAGCCACCATTTACTATATCTGAGTTGAACTCTAATGCAGTTTATCTCACAGAAGATTTTTCACCAAAGGTATTTAAAAGACATAGTTAATCACAAACTCTAAGAAGGATACAATGATTAATGATTTTTTTTTATACATTTTGTAGCTTGTTGATTTTGAAAGCTGGAAAACAATTGTAACAAGATCAGAAAACAACTCTAGATCGATTAGCCATGAAGGTGATATATGTGTTCTCCCGAGTTCATTTGAAGATCGACATTTGGATATTCAAGGGAATATTTACGCTTTTGGCGTTCTACTTTTGGAAATTGTCAGTGGACGCCCTTCGTTTTGCAAGGATAAAGGTTGCTTGGTAGATTGGGTAAGAATTTGTTTATAGCTTTACAAGAATTTTTTTTATAGTTTTTGAATTTATGAAATGATTAAACTTTTGAGGTGTTTAATAACAGGCGAAAGATTATATTGAAAAGCAAGAGGAGATGGGTTCGGTTGTGGATCCTTCATTGAAATATTTTAAAAATGAAGATTTGAAAGTGATATGTGAAGTGGTTTCTTTATGTATTCATTTAAGGCCACGAGATCATATATCAATGAAAGATTTGTGCGCCATGTTGGATGATAAAATTGACACGTCATCTTCTTCAGAGATGAAGGCATGTTCATTCGCTTGGGCGGAGTTGATGCTTTCTCCTTGACTGTCAATGGCATTATTGTAAATACTTGTCATGTACATGGTTATTTTAGGAGTTGTCTAGGATAGGAGGATTCTTGTGTTCATGCGAGTTTTAGAACCTTAAATAGCATCGAGATTGCACATATGATTGTTTAGGCAAGGATGTAAGAATTCGTAATAAGGTCCATCTCAGGTTTACTCTGGCATCACTTTTTTTATTTGGAGAGATTGTGATTTATCTCTCCATGTTAAAATGTGACACTATTCAGTTTTTGAAAGGACAATATTAATATTTGATAAAAACTAACTGATACGTTAGATAACAAATGTTAAATGATATTAAAAAGAAAAAACGTTTATAACTTATTTCTTTAGAAAGCAAGTATATAGTTTAACCCTAGGTGACACAAATCGTTTTAGGGTAAATTTATATAAGTAAAATGCCAAGTTTTATAAAAACTATAGATAGTAGTTTAGATTTTTTTTTTCTTTTTTGTTCGATCACGGAATAATTTTTTATTTATTTAACTATTGAGACTTTAATATTTTTTTTATTAAAAAAACACTACATAAAACCTTGATTCTATAAAATCATTATAGTTTCAAATTTGTTCCATTTAAAAACAAAATAAGGGCTTTTTTTTTTATTTAATCGTTATAGTTTAGAATTTCTCTTTTTTAATAAAAACGACTACAACCAAAAAAAAATAATCTTCCTTCCACTTTTTGCAAATCATTTTCAAGGAAAACACAAAGTGGTTTATTTATTTTTTGGAAAAAAAAAATCATTGATGGTTAAACCAAAAAAAAAGTCTTTGATAGTTAAACCAAAAATAATTCCAAACTATAATTGTTTTTAAGAAATTTTGAATAAGTTAAATTATCATTTTGTAATTAAAATTAAAATATATAAATAAACGTCTCTATACTTAAGTATGAAGTATTGGATTACCCAATACAAATTGGGCTCCCAACCTACTGTTGTGCATTTCAGTGCTAGTTTTTCAAATACAGTACCCATCAAAATCAAACTCAACTAGTCAAAAGTTATTATTAAATCAATCACCAAAGTCAACTATAACAATACGAAATTACCATCTTACCCTTCAACTCCCACTTCATTCTACCACCACAACGTCCCTTGTTCAAACTTCACATTTGGTATTTTCGGTAATGAATAATAACACAGGAAAGACAAAAGGGCATTCTTGTCTTTTCAAAAAAACTCACTCTTATCAACCCATCTTAAAAGCCCTCACCACTCCATTTCTCATTAGTATCTACAAACACAACTAATCAATCCCGTTCCGTGCTCTGTTTCTTGATCACTCCATTACCGTCTTCATGGGAATACAACACGCCGGAATCCGAATTCTGGCGATCACGGTATTCATCCTCGTAGTTGCCCCTGTTTCCAATTCCCGCAACATCCACAGAATTACAATCGAAGGTTTCAATCAAAGATTCCAACCAAAACACCATTCCTATTCCAAGCATCCATGGCATACAACAGCAGCAGCAGCTCCTAAAGAATCCAGGAATTACAACACCGACCCGATTACCGGTGTTTCAAAAAGGGAAACTCCCGGTGGCCCAAACCCTCTTCACAACTGATTAATAGTTTCATCATTGATGATTTTGTAAACAGTTTATACGAATTTTTGCAGTTCTTTAGATTGTATATTAGGGTTCTTGCTACTCTTTCAACTCCTGCTTTTCAGTCAGAAATGTAAATTACTATTACCCGGATATTAGCCGGAATATAATACAAATTCCAAAGTAATCCTTATGACTTATGAGTACAAGTGTTTAATGCATTTCCTATGAAGTACATTGAAAAATAGCCTAATACGACCAATGATCAGAAGTCAAAGTCAAAAGTCCTGTTGTGTAATTGAGGTTAATATAATATATAATCTGTTAAGACTTTGATCTTAATGTATATATTTTTATAGTTGATATGTGCATTATTAATTTGTATGTTAAGTGGGGACAAGGTTTTATACAAAGGAATCCAAGATACAAAAAAACAAGACACTTGATGAAGAGTTGTAGCATCAAGTATGATAAAGAAATGATATTTAATAAACAAATTATACATATTTTCTGTTTTCAAATAGTGCGATGATACAATACAAGACTCCAAGAAGGAAGTTTTGTGACATGAAATGGCCACATAGATTGAACAAGACATCTAGCTTTTAAGCAACCTAACAAAAACAAACATGGTTTAGGTTTAGGGGTGTTTGGGAAAACAAATATCATGGTTTGGGTTTAGGGGTGTTTGGGATTGCTTATTTCGAGGTATTTTTAATGTCATAGGAGCCAAACGAATTGTCCGTTTTGTCTCGATTGGTCCCCATTTTGCATAATCAGGTCCTTGAACATATAAGTTACATGTTAAAAAAACAAAAGGTAAGAACCTATTTTTTGGTTCCAATTTTACGGGTAAACAAAATCTGGTGGGACTTCTGTGGCAAAGTATTGCCCACGTAAGTTCCACCATGGGTTTTGCCTCCCCATTCTCAAAAAAAAAAAAAAAAAAAAAAAAAAAAAAAAAAAAGTAAAACCCTAAAAAACACATTCTCATCGTCTTTGATACCCTGAACCAAGATTCTAAAAAACTCGTCATGGTTTCAAAGCTTGTATCTGCTGCTAAGCTTTACCCAAAACGCCGCGTTAAGTCATATATGTGTATAAAAGTGAATAATAGTTGAAAATACATATAAAGATATATTACTTATATACAAAATTGTCGCCTTAAGTCACACATTACAAACGAGGTGGCTCATCAAGGTTTGAAAAAGCTTGAGACTTGACATTACCGTCAAGTCATGTCTTACATTATTTAGAACATTGCCCTGAACTGAAATCCTAGATTAGTACTCGCACTAAATTGGACATAAGAAAATTGTCGCATTCCTCTTATTACTCCCACCAAAGCAATCGTACTTACCACAATGTCAATCAAATTGTTACATCATTCATGCAACCAGCTTAGCCCTTCACTTTGTTAATAATGATGCTTTTGACATGATTTTTGAACATTTAAGGACCTAGTCTACATAGAAAAATAGGATTTTGGACCAATTGAGTCCAAAATCGACAATTAGTTTGGGTTATTACATTTTTGTTTGGATTTTCATATTTCATGGGAAAAAAACTTTGAAATTTTAACATCAAGTTTGAAATCCCATAAACACTTCCAGAATTTTGAAAAAAATATTTCGTTTATTACTAATATCTAACAAAAAGTTAAAGAAACATAACAAATGAGAAAAATATATACGATACAAAGGCTTAAAATCAATCATTTGATTGAAAACGGTGATGAAAAAAATATGCAAATGAGAAAAAATATACGTTGATAGATATTTCAAAATGAACATTTCAGACATAAATGGATTAAACTTTTTGAAAAAAAAAATATGCAAATGAGAAAAAGTATACATTATATCTTTTTGGTTGGTCCGGAATGTCAAGAACAAATCCAAAATAACTCACACAGGACAAAGTTGTTATTTTTGCAAAACAGACACAAAATAACAACAACAACAACATAGTTATTTTTATCAAACATCTGGTATATAAAAGTTAGTTTAATCAATATGCCAATATACAATCTCAAACATAAAAATGATGAATTATTGAGTTATTTTTCTGAAAAACGATAAAGATTGGTAGGTCAAGAAATTCGTCTACAGAATGATTCAAATAATAATGTTCTGTTTTTCAAAAAGTTGGGTATTTGCGCACCATGAGGCTACACATCTATACACAACACGCCATTAACGTAAGCACCCTTAGATCCTCAAGTTTATCTACTCAATTATCCCCTAAAAATTGCGACATCTGTTTTTGCATATAAATTGTTGATATTTTTATTTGTCAGTTGACCAAGGAAAATTAGGCCACAGTGCCACACCAATAACCAATGACTAGTAGTTAACTATGGTTTACACTTTAGACTATGTGTAACCTTATCACGTCTAATTACATTACTTAATATCATACTATATATATAAACTTAAGAGCAAATCATTTTTTTGGTATTTAACTTTGTCCAAACATTTTAGTTTTTTCTCGCAATTTTGGTGCCTATTTTTATGTGTTGTACACCTATAATCACTAAAATTACAAGAAACTATTGGAAATATAACTTTGAACAAACTCAAGGAAGAAAAATCGTTACAACAATTAAAAATAGATAATACAAAGAAGAAAGCCATTTACTGATTTAAGTAACAACATACAAAAATATATAAAAGAAATCGAAAACTTGTACAATAAAGTCAACACAAAATGAAAAATGTAAATGTATGGAACAACTTTACGGGTTACCAGGTAGAATGATCAAACTGTCAGACAGGTTTTCTAAATTAATGTCTTTTTGGAAAGAGTAATAAATTAAACATTTTTCCAAATATATATATATATATATATATATATATATATATATATATATATATATATATATATATATATTATCACAAAAGATAACATCTGCAGAAAATAATAGATCACCTACAGACTTTTTTTTCCTTGAAAAGCAGAACATCCATGAACAGGAATGCCTTCTTAAGTAATTCTGCAATCAATCATAGAAAAAAAAAATGAAAAATATATTAAAGTATATAAATAGATTCTTTATGTAACCAAAAAAGGAAAAAATGGAACATGCCTAATATTAGTGAAGCTTGCTACATCAACTCATTGCCAACTGGATCTACAGAAAAGCTGATGGACAATTTCTTCTCAATTATAGCCTCAAATTTGGAACTCCAAATCTGCTCATATTATTATTAAGTTTATAACACAAATAATCAAAATTAGCAAACTTTATGTTAACTGTTAAAAGAATACAATGTTAATTAGTAATTACATCTCTATATTCCGAACTCCCCATGAAAATGTCAAATGCATCAGCTGTAAAAAAACAATAAATAAATAAATATATAAATAAAAGTCAGTTGTGAAAAGAGTCAACAAAGAGGCTTACATGATCGAAAACGTATCACTACAGCATGAGTGTAGTCTTTACTTCCATGATTAAAATTCAACCCTAAAAATGAAAATAACTCAAAATTTGACTTTTAAAGGTGGAAATAGTTTCTTTAAATGAAAATGGAATATGTTATATACTTATATGCACAATACCTCTTGTAGATTGAACAATCAATGAAGGAAATTCCATCAGTAATTTTTCAAAAGATGTTAATGCATCATTTGCAGCCTCCATTAATGAGCTATCTTTAAATGCAATAAGAAGTATGAACTCCACACCAAAGTTAAATTCCTGCAATTTCAGTTACTACATGAACCCTAATTGGAATAAAAATACATGGACTGGTTTTTTAATTTTTAGTATTAGTTTATTAGTTTATTACTTTATTACCTCTCCTTTTCGAAAGATGGGAAGAATATCATCTTCTACTTGAGATTCATAATCAACATAAGTCAATTCCTGTGAATGTAAAAGTATATTACAAAATTAAACTTATGAATCGAATGATTAAGAACAAAATCAAACAAAGATAGAAAGAGTATTGGTGTTTACATGTTAGGGCATACATGACAGAAAGATGTTACATGATCCTTTAATACTCCCAAGTAGAATGGATTCTCATAGAACTTTACAAGATCTTCCCTCTTTTGAAATCGCATGAACACAGCATGTGTATAATTTTCAAGATTTTGATTAGAGATACGCCCTACAGGAAAAAAAAAAAAAAGTAAGGACATGTCAATATGACATGAATCAATGGAAAAGATGCAGATCAAATGCAAGAGATTTCACCTAATGAAATTGCAAGAATGCCACGCATTTGGTATTGACATGTATAGAGAAAATCAAGCATGTCCTTTTCATCTTTATCAGATAAATCCACCTTTGCTTTTAGTAAACATATGTGTTCTACAACTTTTCTGCAACAAAAGGAACCACAATACATAACTGTAACTTGAGTTCATGTCTAAAATGAGGGAGTGGCCAAGAAGTTTGATGAAAAACCTTGTTTTTTCTGCACTGTTGCTTGAATTCTGTGGTTCTGTAGCTGAGTTTATGGCACCTACATTTTCATCAGAGAACAAATATTGATATTCAATAGCATTTCACCCTATGATGTCGCAATTGCTTCTATCGGAAGATACATTTTGAGTCGTGAATCAAACAAATCGATTTAACGATGTGAATGTGATACAGGTATACTGGTTCGAAGGAAGACAATGGCGTCTTTTTAAATTATACAAACAGCATAAACAATAATCGAACAATCTTCAGAAACAGAAAAATTAGAATCAGGGAGAATTTTGAATTCGAAAAATTACTCGTCTGACAGACAAACTCTAAGAGTATAGAAGAAAATCACCTCGTCGATTGATTTGCTTCAAACCCGAAGGAAACCGTCGGATAATAACTCCGGTACCTGTGATATGAATTGAAAGTTAACAAAATTTGAACAATGCGTGTCTGGTTTGCTTGAATGCGATTAATTTTTTTGATAAATATGCGACATACCAGAAAGGGGTTTCCTGAGAGAAGCTAGGGTTTTGAGAGGAGCGCCATTGTTGAGGTAATGTTTGGTGAGATGAGAAGTAGAACAGCTGAAAGTGTGTGGGTGAGATTGCATATTGTTTGAGTGTGTATGTCTGTGAATCAATGGTTTGCATATGATATGAATGGGGGAAGAAGATTGTAAGTATGAAATTGAGTGGACTAGGAAAACCAGAATTGGCGCCTTCTTATCGACTCTAATTCTTGCAATCCCATCCTTCTTTTCAAATTAAAACACATTTTTTGTATAAAATCAACTAAAAGTTTACAACTTTCATGTAAAAAGTTATGGATTTAGTCAATATTGTTTGGTTTATTGGTTGATTGGTACCCAAAGCATAGTTTTATTACATTTTTGGTCTCTCAAAACAAGCATAACTGTTAAATTTTTAAAACACTTCATATAGATGTGACCAATCACACAACCCAAAATTACCCAAACGGCCAAACCCTAGTATAACAATGTCAAACAATCCAAACGAACGTAATAGAAATAATCAAACAAATAATAGGATACGAGATTTAATTCCTGAGAGTAAATTACACGGATGGTCCCTGTGGTTCAGGATAATTTATGCGTTTGGTCCATAACTTATTTTTTTAACTCGGACGGTCCCTATAGTTTGATTTTGTTACGTTGTTGGTCTCTAGTCGACTTAAAATGACCGATATACCATTGTGTATTATTTTGATTGTCTTGTTTTATTAACTTATTAAATAAAATTATAAAAGAATATGTTTATTAGATGTGGGTCATACTCTCTAATATTCTCTAATATTCTGAAGAATAAAAAGGAAACCTAAACCACCGGACCAACATCAGTTCCCCCTTCTTCCTTCTCCTTTCTCTCCGGCGTCACCTCTACTGTGCCACTGAAATCGCCGCCGCCGACGAAGAAAACCTTCACACTGTTGTTTGGCGATTGTGTTCAGGGGAGGTATGTTGCTCACTCCGCCTTCCGATCATCTTCCATCATTTACCCTAAATCAGCAAACCATCCAACCATTATATGTCGCCCTTCTCATATTAACCAACACACCCACAACTCACCTCAAGTACATGTCACCGGAGCCAACAAGAAGAAGCAACCTATTGTGCGAGACCCATCATCCTGCGACCAAATCAACCAACGATTTCTGGATTTCGATTTCTTCACCATAGGTTTAATCTAAGGTTGAAATGTCAAACTGAATCAACGTCGAATTGTTTCAAGGTGAAGGATGGGGAACGACTGAAAGCTTCAAGTTAGACCCCTCCGATCCACCAAAACGACAAACTCATAGGGAGAAGATTGGATACGTTGCATTGAATCGTGAGTGTCCTTTAATCGTTAAATCGTAAATCTGTCTGTAACAATTTTTTTAATTACTGATCAATCTATTGAGTCTCAATGGCATAAAATGTTCTCTTGTGTCGATTCACCTGGATTGTATTTGGGATTTTTGTATCTGTGATTTTTCTATCAACGATTTTGGTTTTGGATTTGAGGTACAAGTTAAATTTTAGATGTATTCCATATTTGTTGTTGAAATTTACATTATGGTTGGATTTGTGTTTAGTTTGGGGTAATTTTATGTGGTACTGGATCTGTAGCCCGAGATGATGACCGGAGTTGGTGACAGGAACTGGATCTATGGTCGGAGATGGTGACTGGATGTGGTGTCGGGAACAGGAAGAGGATTAAGGTGGGGTGGACCGGTGGGTCCTATTTTCAACAATATATTAATAGTTTACATTATTTAAAAATAATTGAAATAATAAAAAAAAGATTTAACAAAATAAAATATATCATTAAGGGTAAAATAGTCATTCTAAGTGTGATAGGGACCAAAGACGCTACAGAATCAAACTACAGGGACGGTCCGAGTTAAAAAATAAGTTAGGGATCAAACTTGTAAATTACCTCGAACCACGGGGACCATCTATGTAATTTACTCAATTCTAGAATCACGAAATTGTGTACATCTATCCGAGCAAAATGTGATATTGTATATTGCACTAATAAATAGACACTCATCGATGTTTAAGAAGTGCTCTAAAAGACATTAAAAGTTCGATTGTCAATTATTTTCAATGGTTAACATATGCTATCATTTAAAATTATTGTCATATTATCATTTCATTAACTTTAACATATAATTAAATAAAACATTCAACGGTTAACTGATAGTTTTATTTTATTTATTTCTTTTTATAATTTATTTTAACATATTTAATTCATATTTTAGTTAATTTTCATGCATATTTTTCCTTTTTGTTATTTTATGACTATTTCGGATACTTTCCAGTTTCGTGAGCTTTATTGCAGGTTTTAAGGAGACTAGCGGAGCGGGAATGTTTGGGACGTATGGAAAGAAATTAGATTTGGAGGACAACAAGGATTATGGGCTTGATGACTAGTGGAGTTGATGCATGGAGTGGGCTAGTGGCTTTGGAGCCTGAGGAAGATGGACCTTGAATTTAGAAGAAAATTATGAATTTGCGAGCATGCGGAGATTATTGATCGGGTGAGTACGTGAGTTATGGATGATTTGGGGAAGCCAAATTGGGCTACAAGCTTAGTGGATTCATTCTGGACCAGTGGGCTAAGTCATTGGAAGCCCAAATCACAAAAGAACCTAATTCAGCACGCAGGTTACCCGCGTAACAGCATCCGGGTCGTGCAAGGCCTTGCAGGGGCATTTCCGGGAATTCTTGTTTTGAGCTATATGGGGAAGGTTAGAGTGCCACTTTTCCACACTTCTTTACATCCGGTTTTGGAGCACTTTCTCTGAAGATTTTGAAGACTTTGAAGGCCAATAACACTTGAAGAACATCATATTTTCATCTCTAAATCTTGCTACATGTTTGATACATTTTACTTTAGTTTTAGTTTCTTGAGTTTAGCCATGCTAGTCTAAACTAATCTTGGTTGACTTTGGTGAAATCCTTTGAATGTTTGTTGAATGTTGAAGACTCCATGAACTTGTTCTTGAATCTTTATGAGAATGTTTTGAGTTTTAACATCTTATTACTACTTGTATGTTTATTCATGAGTTTAAATGTGCTTGTGGTGATTAGTTGGCTAACTTATTGATTAAGTAAATGATCCTCAAATTAGCAAGCAACAAATGGTTTTTGTGTTGGTTTTACTTCACACAATCATAAAAACATTTTCTCTAACATGGAAGTGAAAGCATTTGACTCCTCTTGGATTTGGTGACTTTTTGGTTCTTAATGCTAGTTGACTTTCACTAATTACATGCTTAAATGGAAATTATGACTTTGACTAAGAAAATTGTTATGAGCTTCTCTAACCATTTTAACAACTAAGAAAAGTCTAGGTAATCTCAAGCTTCTTGGATTACTATAGCCAAATTAAGGATTTAAAACAAACATTGCACTATTGGATTCTAATGCTATGTAAATCAAATGTTCAAATGAGGAAACCTTAAGTCAACCATCTTTCTCTTATTGATTTTACATCAAACTGTGTTTTTTGTTGAAATTGTCTATTTAGCTTAATTCTAGTTTTGTTTCAAGGTATTTCAAAAGACCAAAACCCCCATTGTTACTTTTGTTGTCATTTTACAAGTATTTTTACAAAGAGATTTTCATAGAGTTTATAAATTGAACCAATACCGCGGATTCGACCCCTTTACCACTATACACTATTTTTAGTGCAAAAGATTTAGGGTTACTAATTTTGTTGCCTCGATAACCACCATTACATTTTCCAATAGGTTTTTCTTTATTTTTATATAATTTATCATTTATAAGTTTAAAGTTCTAGAAACCTCATCCATTTAATTAATCATTTTTAAACACACGTCTATTTTATAGACGGTGAATACAACAAACAAATGATAATATAAATAAAAGTATTCATTGTTTTTATTTTATAAACGTAAATTACATAAAAAAAATTAATACGTCATAGTTATAAAAAAGATTGAAAATATTTTTACTCATTATAAAGTTATATTTCATAAAATAAAATGTCATTAAGTACTGGTAGAAATAATTAACTGGTATATATTAATTATTCAATAAATATTGAGTGGTCAATAGAAAAAACAAATAAACTATTAGCTCTAATGGTAATAAGTTGTAAAACGAATAAAACAAATAGTAATAAGTTATAAAATAGACAAAACTACATGGTCCTTGTGGTATACATTTTTTCGGGATTTAGTCCAAACAACAACATTTTTGGATTGGTGGTCCTTCAGACCATGTTTGTATGTTTTTTTTAACAGCACAAAATCATTAAAAACAAAGCTAGCTAGGAGCTAGCAAACATACAAAATTAAGAAGGATTGAATTAATCATCCAAGCAGTCCAAGAGATCCTAGCCTTAGAGTTTCGAAAACAAAACCACCTAAAAGAATGTTCAACAATACTATAAAAAATGTATTGCTTTCTAAACTTATTGGAATTAAATAAAACTGAATTTCTATAAGTCCAAAGAACCCAAATCACCGACATACACACCAACTCCACGATAGCTCTTTCCATCATATTCACAGGCCTAGAATCCATCCATTCCACCATGTCTACCGAGGAAGCAAAATTCATTATTTGTAAATCTGTCCACTGAGCTACACGAAGCCATATTTTTTGAGCTAGAGAACACTGGTAAAACAAATGAGAAATATTTCCTGAAGCATTTTGACAAACAGGACAAAGAATCGAATCCAAGTCCACTCCCCACTCCTCTAGCAATTAGATTAGACCTTAACGGTAGACTACTTAACATAAGACGTCGCATAAGAACATTCACCTTAATAGGCATGAACCTATTCCATCTCGTAACCATACCACCCACTAGAAGGCAAAAATTATCAATGTATCTTCTAGTTTCTACTAACCGAAAAATCCCAGAGTTATCTAACTCGTAATTCCATTTATCAGGTTGAGATCCCAACTCCCAAAACTAAGCAATTTCAATAAACTTTGAAATTAAAAGTTTCAATTCCTCCCCTAATAGGACATTCGCTAACTAAAATCCCAACCATAGGAGGACCAAAACTCCATAACTAGAGCATTCTGAGAAGCAGAGAAGAGCATAAGTCTAACGAAAATGTCTTTCAGTATCACTCCTCCACACAAAGCATCCTCCCAAAACCGTCGTAGAGCCATCCCCAATCACCATATGCATCAAATTCTTATCCACTACAACCCATTTTCATGTAGTTGATTTAATAGATCCATGATTTTT